TCTATCCGCAATTCGGTCGGGAACCGTGACTTTTAGCATCGTGACCCCCCCTTTACCCCCCAAGGGGGGATGGGGGGGTTTCGGGACTACGAAATTCGGATTCCTTGGGGTCACTTCCCTATTCAACCCCGCGGTCTCCGACTTCGTACGACCTAAACCAACCGAGAAAAAGGCCTGGTACGGGTGGTCTGAAACACCCTGTATATACATTTAATTTACGAGCTAATGCACGCCAGTTCTTCTGTTTTTCATGGTCCTATTTTTCACTCACGACCGCGGTCGAGAAGTCTCTCCAGTAAGTTGGCATCATTGTTCCCTCTCCGTTTAATATTATGGAAATGAATCGAAGTGTCAAGTGCTTCGCCAAGAATCGATTATCAAACAGTTTTAAATGGAGAAAAGCGACTGTTGTCTAGCTGCTGGATCTGCCTCTGTTCTCTTTTTTTTTTTCATCACATTGACTTGCCGCGACCATCTCCTAACATTTTAGTTTTCTCTTATGGAGCATCAAGTGAGCATTTACTTATATGAATGAATTCATGAGGTGAATTTAAATCGAAGCGCCCATAATTTTACGGGGTTTTCTCTTCTGATCCAAGAACTTCACTCTGTTCATCACCAAGTGGAACTACCAAGCAGTACCGGTGATATGACGACCAACGAATGACTCGAGGTCACTCGCCAATTCAAGCTCGGCTTTCAGTAATCTCGTTTCCTGTGATTTCTGGCTCCAAATGTCTCATCAGTAACGTCAATGAATATAATTCGCCTTGTCTCAAAGCCTCTTCACAGATAAGTGAATCAATGAGGTCCGGTTACATCACCTATGGTTAAATTCAACATCTTGTTAAACGCTCTTTTAATGTTATTTTTGGGGAGCTCTGGGCTCGTATGATACAATTCACGGTTCAGATGACATTTTTGGTTCTGTTGAAACATTTTGGAACTGACCGTCATAATTACCAGTTAATAAATTTATCAGGTGCCCCCCAAGTGTTTGTTAAATTTTAACCAGAGGACAAATAAATCCGTAACAAGAAGTGATAGAACCGGGGCCTAAATGAGAAATATCAGAAGGCGGTGTAATTGCCTGGAACCATCATAGCTTCATGCTTATTACCTACATAACTTTCGGGTAGCCTAAGAGAAAAATGAACTACTTATATTTTAGGTTTTTTCTTGAAATCAGTTAGCTCGGTGCTCTCGGAATTTTAATCAAAACTTAAATGATCGCCTCAAACTCTAAAATATGTTTAACAAAATTTGCGGAACATGCATGAATCATGCGATTATTTCTCCATAAATGAATATTCTCCCCATGCAAATGACCAGATTTTCCAGGAAATTTTCTTCGGATTGCAAACAGTTTTCTTAGATTGCAGTTTTCATGATTCCTTGTCTAATATTGTAGGTTGAATGAGAGTGGCCTACAATTTAACCGTGATTCCGGTGTTTCGACATCTTCTTCGAAATAAGTATTTTTCTAGAGAAAATCACTTGATTTTTTCGTTTTGAATCTGTCGAGAACACTCATACAAGAAAGAAAGGTGAGAGGACAGGAAGGGGGGGGGGCATCACTTTCACGTGAATTATAAGTATCAATCATCCTTTAGAATAAATTATGACAGGAAAGTTGCAATATTGCACATCGATGGCTTAAGTCGAAAAATGTGTATCTACGATTGCGATGTTGCAAATCTCCGTTTTAGTTTTCTAGAGAAAAGTCGTTGAATTTTGTCGCGGATCCTTGAAATTTTTCCTCCAGCCAAAAAACGCATTTTCTCAATTCCAAGAGACCTCGTGTTAGTTTGAAACTCTCCGTGAAAATAATTTTTTATGAGAAATAATGCTCGAAAGAAGGTTGAAAAGTCATAGACTTCGTGTAAGTACCTATTCAAAATCCCTGACAAGTCAGGGAATTTTGAAATCCAAGGAAACTTCGTCGCCTTGTGAAAAAAATGGAAGTTTATGGGAGATTTTCAAAAGTTGCAACAATCGAGAATCGCATTTTTGACTTCAGCAGTCGTTAAGGAGAAATAAGCTTTTCTTTTTTCCATTTTGGGATTCATGAGCTCCTCGACCCTCCGCGCTGAGCGAGTCATCTTGGATTCCCAAAAGCACCAGGGACGCTCTTCTGAGGCGACACTCAACACTTATTACCACTCGACGGACATCTGTTTTCGGGTGGATGCGACATGTGCAAAAAACCGACGAAACAGAAAATAAATCCGCGGGTGATAAGCTCGTGAGGAAACAATCCAGCCGGAGCGGCGCACAATGGATTGAGTCAATAAGAGAGGTCGAACATGAACATTTTGACTAAAACTACAAATTTTTATGTTTATTTCGTCACATTTTAAATTTTAAGGGGTGGTTTTAGAAGGAAATTTTACGAGGAAACCAATTAAACCACTTTTAGAACCTCAAAGATTTGTATAAACAGAGTTATAAGCGTTTGAAGTTTCCAAAACTTGTCCGACCTCTCCTATTGACTCGATCCACTGTGCGGCGTGTTTTGCATCGCTCCGCACATCGTTGTCGTCGCCCCGGTCAACGACATCGCCCTTCCCTCATCATCGAATCTCTTTCCCGGCCGCACCGCTCCACGGCGCCTCCCTACAAGTGCTTTTCGCCGATTTATTTTTATAATGCTCAAGGCACGATTGTTTCCTCCAGCGGCCAAAGGTCTGCTCAGTTTCGCAACGTTGAGAATGGATCGACTTGGCCCGAAAGGAAGAAACCACAGTTTTTTTAAAAAAAAAATTTTAAATTTTTTTATTTGGAAAACAAGGGGCCCGCACTGGAAGAAAAACACACATTGGATCTAGAGTCCAGACTCTTAAAAATATCGACAAGAAAAAATACTCTTGATTCAATCGGATTTTTGCCTAAATCAAGAACCAAGCCTCTTAATTGGAGCGGATTTCCTTTTGATTTAAGCTTAAATCTAATTGAATCAAGAGTATTTTTTCTTGTCAATGCTTTCAAGAGTCTGGACTCTAGATCCAATGTATTTTTTTTTTTCAGTGCGCTATTTGTATCACTTTTCTTTTATTTCGACTCGATTTCGCCAAATGGAACCATCGATTTTAGCTCATTTTCGAAACAAAGTGTGTGCCATTATCTATAGTTATTTTATATTGATGGCTTGAGTGCGAAACCACGTATCTCCGGTTGCGACGTCGCAGACTTCCCGACATACTTTAATTGTTCCTAAAAAAACTAACTTTTTTAAAACTGCTTTAATTTTTTCCTCTTTGTCAGCAGAATATTCTGTATTTTTAAGTTACATAGTCACCTTTTTTTTCTCGGCAAAATAGAATAGGAGCAGGAATTTTGAAACATTGCAATGGAGATATACGTGATTACGCACTTCGGCCACTGAAAGGTGTTTCTATGAATGAGCCAGAAATATAGATCCTTATTGTTTTATCAGTGAATTTAAATACTCAGTTTCTCATGAGGAAAGCTCTCATACCACAATTTCAATTTCTTTGATTGCAGGAGCTTTGTCTGATCAATTTTGGTGAGGAAAGTCAAATTTGCAGTAATTTCCCCCCTCCCCCCTATTCCTCACTACATTTTTGATTAATCATATAATAGAATTTCTACAGTTCACACATCTGTGGAAAAAATAATAAACATGTAAATGAATTAAAAAATGTAATGAAACAAATAAATAGGTACACACATTACTTAATAATGAAGGTGATATGCGCATACTTAGGAATACATATTAATTTTTTTCTAGGTCTTTCTTCGAAATCATGCGCATAGAACCCATGTATGTCTTCTTTTGCAGCATCCTTATTCATATGGTCTAATAACTAATTTTTCTTTTTTTTAGGTTTGTACTCCGTGTAATACGCCTGCTACGCCTCCTAATTTCCCCGACACTTTACTTGCCTTCTCCAGAATGTCAGCTTCAGACAAAGTTTGTTCCTCGCCCTCAACAGGTAGCTATTTATGTCAAGTTTTTCTCTTCGATGTCAAATGAGCAGTTATATTCAGTGGTATAAAATTAAGCAGAACTTGAAAAATTCCATTTCTGCACACAAGATAGGGGGGAGGGGGGAGGAGGGACTCTCTTGTTCCCCAACCCAAACATTCCAAACCTAGCAATGAATTTCAACCTAATAATTATTGCAAGATTTCTTCATATTTTTTTTTTTTGGTTTGGAAGTCAATTATAATTCCAAATAAGTATTCTTTATGTGCGACCGTTCACAAAGATAAAATTTTCAGTACTCAGCCATTTTTGTCGAGTTGTAATACCAAATTTTGAGTTTTTAAAGGCAAACTCTCTCGAGTGTTCGAAAGAATCAGTTGTGAGCAGTTCAGTTTTTTTTTCCTGTGCAAATCTAAGCTGTGAAGTTGCTTTTTGATCAGCTAATTTCATACCTGAGACATGGTAGATTAGAATTTTAACAAGGTGGGGAAATGTTTGTTTTTAGTGTTTTTTCTCGTAAGAATTCTAATTTGTTTCCCATAAAACTACATATTTTGAACGGTGAATGTATTCTGCCATTGTTTTGGCTTGACAATTTTCGGCATTTTTGTTTTGCCACAAAATGATTTTAGATTACTTCTCTCTGCTCTAGCATTCCTAATTTAATTTCTCATGGATCCTGGTCCCTTTTTCTATGGACAGTTAAGTATTATCAAAAAAAAAAAAAAAAAAAAATCATCCTGAATGTTGACAAAAATATTCCCTCTCAACACATGAGAAGCATCTGTTGAATGCTCTTAAGGTTTGTGATGCCACTAGACAGTACTCTTTCAGTCTATCATTTATTTGTGAACGTCTTTCAGGGCCAAGAAACAATTGAAAAAGTTTAATGGACTTTGACAATTTTTGTTTCGTAGTGTCAAAATACAAAATTTGTTTAAGATTAACACAGATTGCCTGTTGGCTCTAGTTAGATCATGTCAGTTGAATCATGAATCACTACCATGCAGTGTCCAACTCATTGTGGGACTTATGGCTTTATATATTTTATTATGACGGTAAAATCATCATATGTTATTTTTATTTAATTTTTTTATATTTTTGAAACATGGAAAGATAATTTCAACCCATCACTATTTCCTTCAATTAGTGATATTTACACAAAAGAATACGACCAACTTTGTTTTTTGTCAAATCACGAGTGACACTTATAAAATTTTCTGACAGAATGGCATATAATTACATTTTTTTTTGAGGTCAACTAATGCTTTTCTGAATCTTGTTTCAGTTATATTTTCAACATCACCTAAACAACAAACAAATCCACAAACATCAGCATTGCAACAGCAAAATTTATCCACAACACAGTTCACTCTACAGACCAATAATTCACAGTCGACAGGTGTCACCTTGAACAACAGATAAAACAACTCGGCTAGTTAACTTTAGCTGTCCAAAGAATGTTATACCTATGTAATGTTACATTACAGTAAGTGTGAATGTTTTATTTGTATTGTGACTCTTCCTTTTTTATTCAGTTGCTCTTAAGTCGCTGTATATTTGTTGCATTCAAGGCTACATTGCCAGTCTTAATTTGATAAATCTTGTAAATAATTTTTTTCCTTCAGTCACCGTTACCTGCAAATTTGTTTGTTGACTCCTGACTTTTCTTTTGGACTAATCTCTCAAGTAGAAACTATATCAAAGTTGATCAAATAACGTTAAGTTTTTATTTTTAATTTTTTGTACCCCCCCCCCCCCCCCCCCATCACAGAAATTGTTTCTAAAATGAGTATCACAGCTTTAAGTACAATTTTTCCTCCAAACTTTTTGAATGTAGATCACCATCTAATAACTCGGGAATATCTTGTTTGTTTCCAAAATTTCTTAACTTTTTCTCATAGTTTGTTGTCAGATTTCTGAAAGAAATAATTTTTGTATCAGGCCTCTTTTTATAATTGTATTTAACCATGAATTAAAAAAATTCATAATATTCCAAGTAGTTGCTCCATTTTAATGAAGTGGATTCAAAAACTGCGCGTCTTTGTAAACCTTCAGGATTTCATTCTACAATTAGTTTTTATTGCTTCCTTTAAAGTAAGAAGTAAATGGTATACTTTTCTGCAGTATGCTCACCATTCTCTGAATGTTTTGGTTTGAGAAGTACAAAAGTTTTTTAGTGATCCATTAAGGGTCTACTGCTGATATTTTTTTGTGGGTATTGCTCACCAAAAAGTCTGAGGTTCAGGACGTGTCTGCATTTTTTTCATATTTCAACTTCCCTTTTACTACTTCCAATATTGTTCCTTTGAACTTGGTGTACCAACAGAATATTTCAGTACTCTCATATAGTTTGATCATTTATTCAAGTTAAATAATGGTTTCAAGAACTGGAATAAGTAGGAAGAACGGGGATCATCACAAGGCATAAAATATCCAATTTACGATATTTGCCTGGAAATTAATGTCTAAAATCGAGAATTTTTTATTTTTCTGTGTTGGAACCTATTATGTCGATAAAAATGGCAGTCCATGTCAACTAGGCCGTAATAACTCTCAGAGTGATGAAAAAAATAAAAAATTTTAGCCCTGAGGTCCAATGGAACACCTAGTTCTTCTCCAAAGAATCCCAGAAAAACTGGCAGCTAATCCAGAATCTTCATCAGGATATTTACCTGAAAATTTGATGAATGTAATGAGAGAATTTAAACATTTAAACATTTCAGACACTAAGTCAAAGGATGTATGTCTTTGAGAGACAAAAACACTGCAAAGGTGGATTTTATTAGCTAAAGTTTCTTGTCTCTAGCCATCATCAGTACCACCACAATGTGGTCAAAATTGAAGGCACAAGAGTTTCTAAAATACCAGTATTAGAGCAAATATGTGTTTCTTCCAACTTAAAAACAACCATAATCAAACAATAAAATTCATGCCTTATCACTTATCACCTGCTGCTCATCACCCACTACCATGAGCAACAGGTGATGAGGCATGAACTATATAATTTAATTAGGATTGTTTTTAAGTCAGAAGATAACCCTATTTGCTCTAATGCTAGTTTGTTTTTTATTGTAGTGCCCTTAATTTTTATCACATGTAAGTATAACTTTTTTTAAAATCATTTGAAAGTGCTGTTCGTAATGCTCTGGTGAAGGCTTGAAACAAGAGGCTTTAACCAGTAAAAGTTAATCCAGTTGTATAAGGCTACTAAATAAGATATGGTGTCGTTCAATAGGACATCTACGAGTTATTTTATTTTATTTCTTTCTTTTTTCCCCCTTGAATCACTAAAAAGAAACCAACTAAATACCTAGTACCAGTTGACCAATTGTATACGGCCTCTTGTTGTATGATCAGCGGTTGGTGAACTTAATGTCAACGATGGTTTTAATAGATTCATCCGTTAGGAATTGCACATACTGAGCTGCAAGTTCTAAATAATGTGAATTCTTTAGTTCATCTATCAATTCTTTAATTTCCTACTGTTTATTTATTTGCTCAATGTGGTCATCAACTTTTTGTAAACTTAAGATCACCTCATAGTTGAACCCAGCTTCCTAATTTAGGATTGCATTTATGCTTTTGCTAAGTTTGCTCATCTGTTATCGATTTTGAAACTACTTTCGCAAATTCCTTTTTTATCTTTTTAAATTTCGGAAGAAGTAGATAGAGCCTCTTCCTCCAATTTTGTAAATTTTTTTTATTGATGTCAACACTAAACGTCTGAATAATACCTGCCTCTGTACCTAAAGACAACCAATATTTTAACATTTGCTCCAAAAGATTACTTGATTTTGCGCTTGTTTGATTGCAGATGCAACAAAATTTTTCAAAAGTTCCTTTTGAAACCGGAAAAAACTCTCTGAAAGTACAGAAAATTTAATTCTTTGCTATCTCATAGATAATCTTTGACCGCCCTCTTTTTGTTTGACCACGCAGGATTTTTTTTATGGAGTTCATTGTTGCTGTAATGAGAATTTGTACACCAATATTTGTGAAATCTGTATTACTATCCATTTAATGATTTCTCATCAATAATTTAATTTAATTTGTACTTTTAATTTTAGAGTATTGAGCAATAGGGTTGTCCTAAGATGGCAGAATGATGGATACCAAAGCAAAAATATCTCAGCTCAACTCTAAAAATAGAAAAGCGCACTTAATATTAGAGAAGACGTTTGTATCACAAGGTTATCATCTATCGATCAAAATTACAATAGAACTACGTCACATTTAAAACTCTCTTATGTAGAATTCTCATTTCAAGGAATATAATTCAGACTGCATCATTTAAGGATGTACTTAGCAGCTAATGCCTCCATTATATTTCAATTTCAGTTAATATCTGCACCTGTTCAAAATATTCAATCCGCTCATTGCGATTAACATATGATTTAAATTCAATGAGTAGTACAATTTTATATTTATTGCAGCGATCTTGATTACAGTGTCTGTATGAAAGTCTCCTTTTCTTGTAATTGATTCGGTAATAATTAAATCTTTTAAAGGTTCTTTCTTTCTTTTCCAAATGAGAGTTTTGCCATAAAATTTTTGAGCATCGGGAATTTTGTGAAATTGGACTTGCAGCAGATCTGATTCAAGGTTTTTGTAGGAACTAAATCCATTATTAGAGATGGGGTCTCTTTGCTTCTCAAAATTTAAAGAATTGTTATACTTCTGCCTATATTTATCGGATTTGAAGAATATGGGGATTTCCAAATTTATCATACGTTTGAAATTATTTGGGAAGTTCTTAAGGTTTGAAGGTTTTGAACAAGTGGAATATTTCATTTGAATAATTTTTAAGGGTCCATTTGTCAGTATGACCTTTTTGCGCCAAAAAAAAGAAATTTGTACCCGCAAAAAAGATAAACAAAAGAGGCACAGTGAAGCATTAATTTTCTGAACAAAGCATATTTTCACTGATAACACCCAAAACTTTTTTCAGTACATTTTTGAAGTTTCAATGAAATAGAAAACTTTTCGGCTTTAATCAGTAAGCGTTAAACTTATTTTTTATGCTCATGTATTTTGTATGGAACTTTCCTTAGTCGATAGTTATTGTAACTATAATCTCAGTATCAAGTGTAAGTAGTATACTGTGTCAATGTAAATAGATTTATCCAAGCCAGTTGGATTAACAATAATCGTCAATGGTCCTTCAGTCAAAGTCTCGTGACTCTGAAAATGATGTCGAATTTTGAAATCTAATGAGAAAATCCAAAATTTTACCCTGAGATGTATGATCTCCTTTCTGCCTGACCTAACCAAAATCCTTCAAACTATCTATAAAATTCTAAATTTACTCACAATGGGTAAAAATATACTTTTCGAGCAGTTTCCGTAAACTCTATTAAGGTTATTCTTTTTTTTTCTTCTTTTCTTTTTGATTTTTGTTTATTCTTAAGTAGGAATGAAGCGCTTATCTGATTTTATTTTCTTTGTATTCTAATTTTAATTTTGTTCACAATGAGCCAATCATGAAGACTACTTAGACTCAATCACCTGAATGTGCTCTGCAGGGATATGCCCTGTTTTTTTTTGTAAATGAAAATCTGTAATCAACACACAGTCTTACCTCAATTATTTGATGAGTTGTGATGGAAAATCGACCCTGATAATAGATAATGCATGAATGCATATATTATAAGAAAGAAAAAAATGAAGAAAACGGAAATAAAATGATGAAAAAGTGAGGAAAATGATGCATAAACAAGCCTCATTGTTGCGCTGGATAACTGAAGTGTGGACTTGGTGATGAGTGAATAACCGAGGGATTGTCTTACAGATCTTCATCAATGATCCTATTTGTATCACTCTAGATCACCATCATATCTCTAGAATAGTGCACGAGTATAGGGTCAATCTTGCAAATCTTTCATTTAATGCACAAAAGGATTGGGTGTAATCAATTTGCTCGCTTAGTATGGACGTTATGTAATCATAAAAACGATTTTTCTCTTCCGAAATTTTGAACTCTGTTTATTGTACATTTGATAAAATTCTCTAATGGATAGTTATCACTTACATTGTATCATTTAATCCTCTTACTTTAATCATTATTAGGTTCTGATACAAGCAGAGTGGACTAAATTTTGTCTACAGTAAAAGTATTAATTTAAGTTTCAATGATTCTGTTTTAGAATTTTGAGTTGGTGGTGCCTTTTCACTTATTGAAAATTAAAAATTTGTCAGTCCCTATGTAGTCGCATTGTAGTATTCTATCCTTCTACCACAGCTTCTTTTTGTCAAGAGTTGGCAACCGACTTGTATTGGTTGTTTTAAGACAGCTTAATTTGACTAGAAGCTTTATTGCTTTGTCAGCCAAGATTTGTCGTTACAGATGATTCAGGGTTGCCACAGTCAGGGAATACTGGGAAAACCGGGAAATGTCTATGAATTTTCAAAAGTCAGGGAAAACATGAAAGTTTCAGAGAAAAATTGTTGTGTCATCTTTGTTTGTTTTCTATAAAGAGTTTGATGTTTCAAGGAAAAAATTTTGCCCGGAAACTATTTCAAATTATGTCTTTTTAAACATCTGGGTCATCCTCAATTGTCAAGTAATTAGATCAAAATATGTCAGGAAAATCAGGATGATGTCTAGGAATTTCTTTCTCCATACTCTGTGGCAATCCTGTATGCTGCTTTGCATTGAAATGCTTTTATGATAATTTAACTAACTTTGTAAATGAATTTTATACTCTGTTCACTTTGCGATTGTTCGGATTGCTCTATTAAATGATATGTCTGAAGGAGCAAAGTGTATTTAGGATTCTCTCAAAAAACAGAATTTTTGAGGGATCAGGATAACCACTACCTTAATACTACTGCCCTGTAGAAATTTCTCTTATTATTTCTTTTCTACATCTAATCATCTGTTGAACCAGTAAATCGTGGAGTGAATAGTGTGTATTTGTAGTAGGTTTTTGTAAGATGCAAGGGATTTAAGTAAATCATGTTTCAGTTTTAATGTGATATATTTTTTAAAAATTTGTACATAAGTGAAATACAATAAAGTTCTCGGATATTTAGTGCTATTAATTCCGGAGAAAGAAATTCCTAGACATCATCCTGATTTTCCTGACATATTTTGATCTAATTACTTGACAATTGAGGATGACCCAGATGTTTAAAAAGACATAATTTGAAATAGTTTCCGGGCAAAATTTATTTAGTGCTATTAATTCCAAACACTTAACTTAGTTTTAGTATTCTTAGCACCTTTTTCATGGCCGGTTCGGTATGTGTGGTGAATTTAATGGAAGAGAGTAAACTAGAGCAAAGGGCTGCTTTTTCTTCATCAAAAAAAGCCCATTTTCTCAGAATCAAATACTTTCTCTTGCTCGAAAAAGTTGTGAGGCTGTTAATGATCCTAAAACTTATCGACAGTGTAAGTCGGCGATCACATAACTCATTTGCAGTCTGAAAATCTCCACTTCTATGTTATATTTTTAGAGGAGAACATATTGACATGATTCCTTGAAGTTTCTGCAGAATTTCTTTTGCTTAGAGAAGAAAAATCACTGGAGTTTTAAAGAATAGCCGTTGAGTAGTTTTCTGTTTAAAAAATAAAGTGTGATAGGAAGTCTGCAACGTCGCAAATCAAGTGATGTGATTGCCGACTTACTCCGTCGTTATGCTGACAACGTCCAAATTGATTGAACAGTTATTTTGCAGCTGTTTGTCCTATTGAATGCTGTATAAGAACCCACCATCAGCTCTAAGGATATTGAGTTCTAATGATGCTATTTTTTATTTTCCGGCTAAATTCAATTGTATAAGTCGCAATTTAAGCCAAAGCTTGTAATTCTTGATCAGTGGTGGATCCTGTTTCAAAGAAGACAAAAAGACCCATCAATTTTTTCCGTTTTAATGGTTGGTTAATCTAATTTACAGCCCTTTTGTCCCATTCTCTCCATCCAGGCTTGCCTTGTTCAGGATTTCTAGAACTAATGGGAGCCATTATTCCATTTTGAACTCTATCTTGTTCATATTTTTTGTTTGACTTTAGGGATCTCTACATCCAAGCAAAACTGAGAAAACCTATTACCTAATGAAATTTTCACAGTGTTCATTTAAAATTCGAAACAAAGCATTCGTGAGACCAACTTATTTTTTTTTAGTGCCCTGAGGGATACAGTAAAAAATTAAGGCACTGACAGAGAGAACCAACAGAACCTAACGTTTTCATTACAGTGGTACCTAACTGGGGGGAGTAGTTTTCAACTTGAACGCTTTGGGTTTTGAATTTTTAAATTATCAAATTCAATGCAAGAAAAATTGAGTATTATGAGACAGCATTTTAAGACACTTAAATCTGGCGGTTAAGTCCAGTTTGGTAGGTAGGTAGGTTTGAGTTTGATGAATGTGAAATAAAATTACTCAAATCAACAAGTTTTACTTCAAATGAAAACTTTATTTAAAGGCTGATTACAATTATTCTTTTTACATGGTTCAATAATTTTTAACCTTCATCTTTTTATATCTTCATTGATATCAAGTTACCAGCAACATACTGGTCTACCCTCTAATTTACAGTATAAAATGTGGCTGTTCTCGCACCTCTGACTGTGACCAATGGTAGTACCTACTAACCATCAATTTAGAGAGAGGAAAGTCATAATGCCTTCAATTTTATACATACATATTTTTGGGCAAAATGAGAGACGACGTTTCTCCATTTGCGACGTTGCAGACTTCCTAAATTTGGATTGTTTCTCGTGGAAGAGATGAATTAAGAACGGAAATTTTGAAACACCGCAATGGAGATACGTGGTTTCGCACTTCAGTCGGTGCGATACGGACATCCATCAAGTTTAAAAAAATGCATCAAGTCCCCGTCACCGCCGACCATCGCGTTTGTCGATCGAATCAACTACAGGTATTATGCGTATGAAGCCAAAACGCCTTCAATTTTTTGCACGCAATACGGACATCCGTCGAGGTTGTATAGTTGTATCAAGGCGCCGTAGCAGACGCGTCCCATTGTTTATCGTTACAGACGAATATAAGTTGAGAGAGGAAAGTCTAATGCCTTCAATTTTATACATACATATTTTTGGGCAAAATGAGAGACGACGTTTCTCCATTTGCGACGTTGCAGACTTCCTTAGAAATGTTATTTTTCTTTCGAGAATCTGATCAACATGAAAATTAAATTCTCCATGATTTTTCGTATTCGATAGCAGAAGATTTGGTTCAAAAAAAGTCGTAAATTTGGATTGTTTCTCGTGGAAGAGATGAATTAAGAACGGAAATTTTGAAACACCGCAATGGAGATACGTGGTTTCGCACTTCAGTCGGTGCGATACGGACATCCATCAAGTTTAAAAAAATGCATCAAGTCCCCGTCACCGCCGACCATCGCGTTTGTCGATCGAATCAACTACAGGTATTATGCGTATGAAGCCTAAACGCCTTCAATTTTTTGCACGCAATACGGACATCCGTCGAGGTTGTATAGTTGTATCAAGGCGCCGTAGCTGACGCGTCCCATTGTTTATCGTTACAGACGAGTATAAGTTGAGAGAGGAAAGTCACAATGCCTTCAATTTTATACATGCATATTTTTGGGCAAAATGAGAGACGACGTTTCTCCATTTGCGACGTTGCAGACTTCCTTAGAAATGTTATTTTTCTTTCAAGAATCTGATCATCATAAAACTACACAAATAACTTGTCTTTCCTCTATTTTACAATATGAAATGTGGCTGTTCTCACCTCTGACTGTGACCAATGGTAGTACCTTATTACCATCAATTTAGGTACTTCGTTAAGCAAACACGATCAGTCTAAAATGGCTTCTTAAAACAGAGGGAAACTGCATTCATGTTCTTTCTTGTATATTTACATGAATATTTCAAAATTAAGGGTTTATAGATGTTGATGGGTGAAGTCAAAGAGCTGGTGTCTTCATCGCAATGTTTGAATTATCTTAATGTTTTAATTTTTTTAATAAAGCTAAAAATAATATCTCATCAAGATTTAGGGAACACTTCTGGAAGTTTGAAGAATATGTGTGGATCAAGTGGATCACTTTAAGAATGACTGTCAGCTAGTGCTCTTTTAAAATCAAAGAAAATTAGTAGAGACCTACTTTGTTGCAAACCGAGATTTTTTTTGGCTTTATCCATCAATATACAAGGTGTTTCAGACTATCATTTCACTAGCTGTAAATCAGGAACGCGGTTCGGGATAGAGATATTGTCAATTGAACCCAATAAACTCGGCCTTGATCTATTTTTGAAATGCAGACAATGGTGAATGGGTGGTCTGGAGCAATCTGTGCAAATATTATTCCCTAAAAAACGTCCCATTTATTTATCGTAAACCAGGAGAAACCTACAGATGATGGTCTGAACCACCCATAGGTACTTTATTAGCTCCACTACTATACCGTTGACTGTGTGGTGTGTGGCGTAGGTGAGGTTGAAGAAAAAAGAATCAAGTCAAGTTCAAGATAGCATTACAATTTTATGCGAATGTTTAGGAGTTGGTGAATCATTCTCTCGAATATTTACAAATATAAATGGTTAGGAAATTTTGCTGAGGAAATTTTTCCTAGAAATTTTGTCAGAAACCATGCCAAAAAAAAAAAAATACTGAAAAGCCAGGGAAAAGTTGGATTTTCTTTATGTTTAAAATACCTGAAAAATCGGAGATTTTTTAAATCTAAAAACACCTTGTCACCCTTCGAACAGCGATGATCACGGTAGGTCATGATTCCGCTCTTTCTTACCACTAACTGTCCCACAAATTGCATTATCTGGCAACGCTGCCACATAGATGCCGAAGAAATTAAATAAATAAGAGGATACGATTTTTACTAATTTCCGAGTGAATACAATAAGGAAATTTGGAGGGAGGTTAAGTGTGTAATTGCCGATAAAGTCAGAAGAACAATTATTACCGCATGAATAGTAGCCATCTTATGTTTATATTCTTAATTGATTTAGGTACTTATTTTTAAAAAAAAAAAAAAAAAAAAAAAAAAAAAAAAAAAATTAACTAAACACTCAAACCACCTTATCTTCGTGCAACGACGACGTTTGAATGCAACGAGATGGCTCTCCGGTTTATACAATGGACGGGCGAGGATGCAACTATTCGTGTCCTTGGGATGTCCGTGTTGCATACACAAAAAATTGCGGGCGCTTTGACTTTCTTAAGCGCAACGTAGAGCTGCGATTATTCAAGCTCAAGGGTTTTCAACGTTGCGTTTACAGTCTTGTTTACCATGAAATCCTTGGAATTCGAATGAGCCTTGATTCATTACGACCACGTTGCCAAATGGTGCATATTTTCCACCACAGGCATTTTCACCAAGACATTGCGGATGTCGATTCCGCAAATTACTGCTAAAACATTTTTCAATTTGCACCATTTTGTTATGCTAACAAGGTGCTAAACGACTCATCCAAATTTCAAAAATTTCACTTTTCAATTATTGAAGCAACGTTTAAAAGCATTGAGAACTACTATAAAATTTTATTGGTACCTAGTAATTTACGGGTTTGGCATCCGCGATGCATTTGTGCAAATTCTTTTGTTGGAAAATTTGCACCATTTGGCAACGCAGTCGTGATGCATCAAGGTTCATCCGAATTCTGAGGATTTTATGGTAGACACGATCGTAAACGCAACGTCGAAAGCCTTGAGCTTGAACAACCGCAGCCCTACGTTGTGCTCAAGAGAGCCAAAGCGCCAGCAATTTATTGTGTATGCAACACGGATATCCCTATAAAATTTTTTTTTCTTCTTTATTAAAAAAAAAGAAAAATTGAAGTTAGACGCAAGGATTGTTTTATATTTTTCCTTCTCCCTGGTTGATCCAGTATCGCAACCGAACATGGTAGCAAATTCTCAGAGGAGCCCAATACCAGGAGTAGATGCAATGCCTCTAATCCAATAAAATTGGTAGGTACATAGTTTTAGGCAGACTAGGTATACTTAACAGACATAGGGAGATAATTTAAATAGCTAAACTAGTCGGAAACTTTTGCAAGTGAGTACCCTCCCGATTTTTCCTAATGTTTGCCACTTCGTGAGTTTAAGTAAGTAAGTCAGTCAAGAACAAATTTGCAAGGACGAGAGCTTAGATCCTCTAAAATGCATGCTTTTGTTTTCATGCGCAAAATGAAATTTGATTTGATATTTTTGATTCGATGACATAATGAGGCATGAAAATGCTACTCCTTGGCAATTTTGTTGTGTGGCAACTTTTGGCAAGTTTACTAGATGGAGAAGTATATGAGACTAAAAATTTACCCAAGACGGTAGGGGTGGTCTCACGGTAACTGGAATAGTTTTGTCGCCGTAACAGACAACACATTTTTCGGTCATATTTTTAGTAGGAATAATAATCACTCGAAATTTTTTGCATTAATCTACACAAGGTTACGTTTTATAACGCTTTTCAAAGATTCATCGCTCTAATTTTCAATTTTAATGTACAAATGGCCGAAAATGTGCTGTCTGATACGCTGACTTTTTACCGCGTAACAGACAGCACATTTTCGGAATTTACATAATATTAATTGAGGAGTAGAGCAATAAATCATTAGAAAGCGTTATAATACGTAACCCTTTGAAGATTAAGGCAAAAAAGTTCGAGTGATTATCATTTCTACTAAAGATATGACCGAAAAATGTGTTGTCTGTTACGGCGACAAAGCTATTCCAGAGATCGTGAAACCACCCGTAATCGCACACTTCTTTTTGGTCTGAAATGGAAGCCTTGGGTGTGGAATACGCCGTGTGCGGTCATGTACGCTAAGTAGCATACTTATCCAAATTTTGGATGTAGAGCATCCGCATTTTGAAGATTTCGGTGGAAAAACAGCATTTGTTCCGAGAAATGACATCTAGCGGTCTTTTCGTAATACCTCGGAACGGCAAAAAACTTAGCGTTAGTTTAGACCCCTCTCAGCTCTATGGTATATCGACGGTGCAAGTCGGCAATCACATAACTCGTTTGCGGTGTCTGAAAATCTCCGCAACTATGTTATTTTTTTAAAGGAGAACAAATGGACATTATTCCTTGAAGTTTTTGCAGAATTTTTCTCGCACATAGAAGAAAAATCACGGAAGTTTTAAAGAATTACCGTTGAGTAGTTTTCCGTTTAAAAAATAAAGTATGACAGGAAGTCTGCGACGTCGCAAACCGAGTTATGTGATTGCCGACTTTCACCGTCGATATCTAATGTACTCAAATAGGCAGTTACGGTTAGTTGTCGAACGTGGACTGCAACACTCGAGAATCTGCTATATAAAAGTTACGTTATATTGAATTTCTAATTTTCCATGGGCGGAGCAATGAAGGTCATGGCGGGGGGGGGGGGGGNCGACAGAATGCGGCCCTCGTATCTATTAGAAAGATAGGCAATTTGCAATGCAAAGAGAGATAGAAACCTTTTTTTTTAGTTTTATTGCGATACTTTCCGCTAAGAGGAGCCCCCTCAGTTAGTAGATGGGCAACATACCCGACAAAGCAACGCTCCGATGCAGGGGCAATAATTCACCCTGTACTGTAAATCGCAATTCAGTGCAACCTGTGCCACTTGGGATGTAGTCGCTCCACATCAGCTCAGCTCTGACTCCTCTAAAGAGTGGGTCATCCCCCTCCCCCACCCCTCATAAAAAATGTCTAGTTACGCCCATGGTTGAATGACTTGGTTTTTCACCGATCTTCTATTGTTATGAATAAGACTAGTATGGTCCAGAGCACGAAAAAGGGAATTTTAATACATGTCGTTGGATTCGGTTTTTTTGTCTCCTTCGTTCTGCATATCAGGCGGGCTACTCATTCCATATTCATCCGTAGTTGTTCCACTCTCTTCGCCTCCCATGTCGTTCCCTCGTTGAAATGATTCGTCCATGTCCGTCTCGTCTGCTTCGTCCCGCGGCATGTAGTCTTCGGGAGCTTTCTCTTCGTCCTTAATTTTTTCTACGAAAGGAGAGTTCAGCGATCTAGAAATAGGAAAGAAAGAGCCATTACAATTTTGTCCTAAGAACGCACGAAAAATATTCTAGATTTTGTTTTAATTCTTCGTGGAATTAACGTGGCGAGTACCTAAATTGATATCACTACGTTTTTTGGGACAGGTCATCTTGCGCATTTTTAACTTGACGGCACAATTTTACATGTAGATGTTTTTGATGAATGTATCTTACGAAAAATTTGCCCACTTAAAACTATGCCAAGTAATTTGGACCACATTTTGTAATTGGGAACTTTTCCTGGCTCATTTCAAAAACGACATTCGTATTTTGAGTTTCTCTGTAGAGTGTGGAAATAGGTGCTTTTATGAGTGAGCCAGAAATCGTAGTTTTCAGTAGCAAAATTTCATCCACTTAATTCCCGTAGTCGTGTACGGTTTGCGTTCTAGCTACTGCATCTTTAGAACCAGTTTTATAACAGCAGCATTTAGTTAGAATTAAACAGGTACTTTAAGTATTAATAAATACTGCTCTCTAGGGCAGGACCGGATTTAGGGGTGGACATGGCGGCAAATTTAGGGGGGCGGCAAACTTAGACATTTTTTTAAATGTAGGTATAAAAAAAAAAAAAAAAATCGGATTCAGAAAAAAAAATTAAACGAGAAAAACGCGACAAAATATCTCATTTCCTGAGAGTACAGTAATTTCTAATTTTGTCGTCTTTCGGAGATACAAGAGACAGCACCTTTAATTAGTTGAGTTACGAGAGAAACGAAACACGCAATTTGGTCTGGAACGGCGCGCGCGGCGCAGAGAGCAATGATGACGAGGACTTGAGATGAAAAGGAGAAGCCCTCGGCGCGGCGGTCGGCATGTAGCATATATTAGCGCCTACAAGACTGCATGAATACTTCACGCATTGCGTCAAACACAGAGCGGTCAGCAGTGGTCGGTGTGAAACGCATCGCGCCTACAAGACTGTAGGAATACTTCACGCATTGCGCCAAATACAGTGAGGTCAGCGGAAGTTAGAATTATTAAACCACATTTATGTTTGTTCTGTAATAATTTTTTCGTTCATTACTTATAAATGGAAGGTCTTATCCACACAGAGATTGGTTTATGAAATTTAACTTTCGCACTGAGTTCCGTGAACTTTTGCTAGTAGTGTTGACAGGGCTTCCGCAAAAAATGTGTCCAATACGATTGAACGCGTCTTATGCACCCCTCCCTCTCCGGCACGTTCACTTGATGGTTTTTATTGATGTTTCAAAACGAATGAGAAGGGGGTGGCAAAATATAGACGGCCCATGGACAGTAAGTATAAGTAAATCTAGCCCTGATTAGGGTAGCACTCATATCGTCATATGGTATCAGCGATAAGCTTGGATTTCCTTCCAGTGACCAACGCGAATAAAAGTTGTCCAAGAGTCGCCGAAACGTGAATTTAATTTAAATGTGCCATTTTTATTCAGGCTGCTTTTTTCATTTCACCCTTTTTGGCGCATTCTGATGAAGTGTTTTATTCCATGGATAAAAAGCCGGACAAGAAAGGCAAATGGGGAGGGAGGCCGAGTTCTGGTTTGCGTTGCTCGAGAGTAAAATGTTAATTAGGCGTCAGTCAGGAACAATGAGGCCGTAAATTTCAGGGGAAATTTCCGACTAATTACGGAGTGTACCTGTGAGCCGCACGCCATGAAGAAAAGTGCGTCATTTGGCCTCGACTTAAAAGCTTTTAAAGGTGTAAAAGCGGGAGCCTCGGGAAACACAGCTGTACCTTTCAAACTCATACTTTGCCAGGTTTGAGGTTTAATTGTTGGTGAAATGATAACTCGCAGTGATAAAATTATAAAACGCTGTAAGTAGTTGATTTAGGGCCATAAAGCGTCGAATTAATTTACGTTTTCCGCACATTTTTCCAGTTAAATTGGGGAAAGACGGTGTCATATCACCGCAGCTGAAAAAGAAAGAAAGGAAGTTGGGTTTGACGACACTGCCATTACTGCCAAAGTGCCAAGTTAGTGAAAGTTCTGTTATCTAAGGTAGTTATATTTTCTCTTTTTTAAAAAGTCTTTGAGAGAGATTCTAAATTCAATTAAAAATCCGTGGTGGAACGTATGACTCACTCATGCTGAGATAGGTTTAATCGCAGCAATAGACAAATACAACGCAGGCGCATCGAAATCTTATGAAATGCCTTCAGATTTTGGTGTAGGCAATACCGCATTACTCCCAAGTTTTAATAGTTGTATCAACCACTTGATGAGATTTATTACTTTTTCTTTCGCAAGATCTCGGAACGAATGGAGCCAAGGCCCTACTTTAAACCTTTTTGGATCTCCATCTTAACACTCATCCAGAGAAACGCAGGATCGCTATAATGCGGTCCTGTGCTCATTGAAGCAAAAACTGCCGATGTACGGATCGGCGTTTCCTTTTTGGGCTGACTCTATGTTCCTCCCCCTAAGAAACTTAGTGAGACGTGTTGGGTGTATAGGTGTCGCTAGGTTATTTTGCTTGGGAGGGCCCGGTACCCTTATTAATGTTATCGCCGGGGAGCTAAGGGTCTCCTCTGGAAATTTTCCAAATTTTTGGACGTATTTCGAGACTTCTGTAATTAATTTTTCCATTAATTTCTACACATAAATCACGGTGTCAATTTCTACCTACAAACCACAAAATTTGAATTTATTGCGCCGCTCTGACTCCCCCTCCCCCCCCCTCGGCCCAGGGGGTCCACATAACTTTCCCCGTGGGTTATTCACATTAGCTACCAATGGGTTCACCTATTGATCCCCCTGGAATTTCATGGATCTCACTTGGTCCCCCAGGAATCTTATGGGTCCCCATAGGGCCGTTTTACCAGGTATACTTACTCGGTGGTGTTGTTCAGAGAATCTATCATGTCGCGAGCCTCACCGTCCAGTCCTGAGGCGTCAGTTTTGATCCTGTCTTGGAAATCATCCAGTTCCTCTTTCCTGCCGGATATTGCGTCCGCTATATCTTTTCGGAGAGCCGTCACTGTATCCTCCAGTTTTTCTTCAGCCTCTGTAACCATCAAAAATACAGTGTATCAGCAGGGAAACCGTCTTACACCCAAATCTTCACACTGAAAAAAACACTCCGGCCGTGGAAGCCGTACTTACGGGCTATATAGAGATACCGTCCGTGTTCCGGGCGTAGCACCCGGAGCACTTCGACTGCTCCGGGTGCTACGCTCGGAACTTTCGGCCTCTGAGCCCGGAACACGGACGGTATCTCTATATAGCCCGTAAGTACGGCCTCCACGGCCGGAGTGTTTTTTTCAGTGCACTAATATGAACACCGATGTCAGTTTAATCGGCAGTGACTTGAGAATTTGGACTGAGAGATCGCCAGTTTTAAGTTTTTCAGGCAGTCGTAGTGCAGACACGTACATCAATTATAACTGCAAATACTAGGATGGAAAAAAACACAGTAATTTTTTAATAAAATGACGTCATTCGGGCTTTGTCCTCAAAGGGCGAAGTCCTTGTTGATACTGAACGTTTAGAAATTCGACATTTTGACTCATTCTAAGATTTTAAGCGTTGTCAATCTGTGCTTTTTCTGATGACCCATTACAAGAGGAAAGGTCGCCATTTGAACAGAAAAGTCGGGGGTCTGTGTCCTCCTTTAGCATGGCGTCTCCGACGTTTTGGGGAATCTAAAAAGTTGTTATCCATTACTTCGGAGGACTCCCAAAATTTCAAGTATCTTACTCAATTAGATAAAAAATTAGCAGGTTGACACGGAATTTCTAGACACCTTGTATTGAGTCTCTTTGAAATGGACTGAATTTTGTAAGATAAGACGCGGGACCGCCAGTTGGCTAATTCATGAAAGCGCTCATCTGCTCAGTGGAAATACCGATGTCAGTTTTAAAATGGACCAGAAATAATTGAACGTATTTCTGCTAAAATAAATTATTGCATGCAACATAGTTCCTTACGTGTATAGCATAAATAGTTCATTTATTGCTTATGCCTGTAAAATGAAGCCGAGCCGAGTTTTTCAGTTAAAGGTAACTTAAATTGCCTTTGTCAGACCATAAATTAATTCTATCAAATCAACGCAGTCAATAAATACCGAATTGACGTTAAGAATAGTCCATTTCTGTCACTGTTCAATGGGCCGTTAAATATTGAAAAATGAACGAGCGCAAATGAATACCAGTGGCGCGGCGTGCTTTGAGATACATCGATTGATTTGCCATTTATACCTATGGAAATGGATCGACAAAAAGGGGGTAAGCAACGAACACTTTAATCATCGATTCTTTACCATGGCTTCAAATGGGGAAATATCGATGATCGATCATTCACGCCGCGCCACTGATAAATACCTGGCCTTTTCGCATCGTTTTGCATGTTTTGCATGGTGTTCCTATTCGATGCCTAAATTACCTAAGGCACTGGAAGAAAGCAAGGGTCTCAACCTGAAGAACGATGTAACTGCATTGTTGTGAGATAGTGCTAAAAATCAGCACTCTTCCCAATTTAAACGATTTCCTACTAAACATCCCTGGCCACTATTTGAGGTTATCTGGTCAAAGCTGCGGTTAATGCACGGGATCATAGAGAGTGGACTTAAAATAACTGACTTTTTTACTTGATATAGCGAATTTGTTCCGGGCATGGAATTTTTAGTTGAATTCCTAAGCACGTTTGATTGAATAAAATAAATTTGTACGACAAAGTCAAATTTTGAAAGAAGGTAAAAATGTCTTAATGTATGCCAACATAGGGAACGTTTCCCTCCGCAGAATTAGTTGTTGCCAGGTGGTGCTGAAAAATCAGATTTCTCCATTTAAACCCATGTAAAATATCTAAATCTTATCGTACAATCTGGCAAACTTGCCGCAGCTAATTCTAACACACTCTCACACAATAGAGAATTTGCACCCAAATTTTTTATTGCTTCAATGGAAGGCGCCTAAAGAGCCGATTTTGCAGTATTTTTTTTATAATTTTTTTTTCGGGCATGGGAAATAGTGTATAAATAGATTTAAAAGCGAGAAAATGCGCCGCCTAGTGACGTCATCTGGCGGTATTTCCTACTTAAACGCATGTATTTTAGCATATGAGGTTAATTTGTCGTATCTCCTAAAATAATTATTTAATTTATGAACCAAGGGTATCCTCGTGTTCAGCTCGCTTGGTAACGTCCATTCAAACACGGAAAACATCGAATTTCAGACACCTGCAATTCTTCATTACTCAAATGGCCAGAAAGCTATAAGGGATTGTTTAAACCCACGTGAAATATCTGCATTTCATAGCGCAACCTGACAAAAATGCGCAACAGTTGCGGCCGATCGGCAACGGGGCAAGTGACGCAAATTGCGAGCGTATGCCGGGCCGGAGGCCGGTTGCCGGTTGCATTGCGTAGAATTGCAAACGGAAAGTTGCGTCGCGGCGGGGAAAAATCAATTTTTGAGCCGGTCGTTGCCGAACGGTGGCGGAAACGGACTCGCCGCACGGTGGATCCAGTCAATAGGAAAAGCCGGACAAAACGTAGAAACTTTAAACGCTTTTAACTCCGTGCATACAAAACTTTTAGGTTCTGAAAGTGGTTCCATCGGTTTTCTCGTGAAATCTTCTTCTCAGCGCACCCCTTGAAATTTAAAATATGACGAAATAAACATAAAAATTTGCAGTTTTATTCAGAAATTTTATGTGCTACCTCTCTAACTGACTCGATCCACTGTGCGCCGCGCCGGTGTCGATGGTGGTGTCGCGAGATCCGGCGCCGGGTAGCAACTCTTTGATTAGTGTTCCCCGGCCGAAAAGCCAAAAGCGAAAACGATCATTACTCTCGGTGAATAATGAATGGGCCAAGACGTCAATCAGACGCCGCGCTTCCTCCTTTGCAATGCTGTCGCGCCGGGGAAGAACGACGTATGAGCTTTCCGACGACGCCAAATCGCCTTTCATAAAACATGATTTTGCTATGAAAATTCTAAACATTTCACCGCGAATTTCTCCCAAAATTTTGTTCGCAATTTGATCTAGGCTAACTGAAAATTCCAAGGGACAAAATTTATAATTTTTCTCAGAAATGAATACTTTATCGTGGGAAATTTTGCAACATTCGCACGTACATACGGCGTTTATATTCTACTCTCGGCACCCGAGCCCGAGCGCACGCAACGGATGGCATGTCCTTTGCAGTTTGCCCTTTCGCCGACGTGGTGGGCGATGGCCATTTCACGTCCTTCAGCATAGAGTATCTATATAGGGGGAGTCTGTCAGTCATGTCTGAGAAACTATCTGATTGGTTCATCAGTTTAAGACTTCTTGTGAGGCTCCTAAAGATCAATGTGCCCCAACCCGATCCACAGGAATTCGTATTGGTGAGGGATATATGAATGATACCGAAAAAAGTGATTCTTGGCATAAAAATATCAATCAGAATATATTCAGGACTGCGAGTAATCCGAGGGTATATAGAGAGAATGTTAAAATGTCTGTGCTTCTCTCTGATTGGTTAATTTTCCCTAATTGGTACCTGCTTGGAAATTTACAAAAAGACACCGTGTTTTTTAATTCAATTATGCATCGAAGGGTGGTGTGAAATTATGAATAAATTGCAGAATACATGGAAGTGGAAAAATGTACATAGGTGCAAATGAACTCGCCAAATGTAATTCTGTTCATTAATATATAGGTTCTAAACAAATACAAAATCTGATCGAACACACCATGAAATTAAAACCATTTTGCATTAAGATAATTTTTTACACGATTTGAGGGACCTTAAGAAAACTCAATCTGAAACATGCATACAAAATGGCATTTTTATAACGAAGAAGAACAATTTTCAAAATAAAAAAACAGTCAATTTGTATCTTTCGATGTGAAACAACATTTTATGGTGACCAGCATGATTCATTTCAGTGTAGTGAATTGTGGCGTCAAACTCCTTTAGAAAAGTTTTGATGGGACTTGTTCAAAAGAGACTCCCAGCAGAGTCTGGAATTTAAAATCGTTCATGCATTTGGACACGCAAAAATCCACACTCATGCAGATATATTACTTGCAAAACCAATGAGGACAGTTTCAGAGCACTCCAACTCTTTGCTTCCGGGAGCTTTCGGACGAACTGTCACTTTTTTGGCTAGAAGCACCGGTCTCAATCTGATTGGACCCTCATCTGTATTACCGTTGTGTACTTTACTTTTATCTGCAACAAACATGGTTTTAGTTGCAACAGTTCGGTCTTCAAATTTTGTTTCCTTCAATATATAATGTATATCCACCAGGATCGTCGTTACTATCCTGAAGTTTTTAACTCCAGTTAGTAACAATAGGACGGCTAAATTTCGTGGCAAAAATGTTGACTATGTCATTCGATCGCTGGTTAATGGGTTGAACCGTTGAGGAACTATGAATGGCACAGGCCTGCTGTAAAAAAGCTCAACTTGCTCACAGCTTGAGTTTAGAATATAATCTTCACGATTAAAAGTCAAATTTAGAGATCAGGTTTCGCAATTGCGGTCGACGGTGAACCAAGAAGATTTAGGCCCTAAAAATTTTCCCTTCGTGGATCAAGGTTCCTCTATTTGTGGTCTATGAGGGACGGAAAACTATCCAACATAAACTGTCGAAAATCATCAATAGTTTGATTGACACGATATTTTTTGTACCAAAATGACTCATTCGTATAGAAGAGCGTGGAAGAACGCGCGTATCTGCACAAAATGTCTAACAGGGAATATCGTTCGTGTTGGGGAATTTTTGCCTCGGTAAAAATTATGCCGTTTGCAGGAGAATTTCTGTGTCGTGACCCGTCGTCACTTGGGGGTCGAGCGACTTGTGGATGAATATTTGAAGAGCGCGGCGGGGCGCGGGGGAGGGACTTGACTTGTGAAGCGTCAACAGTCGGCAGGCGACCGTCACACCCTGACGGGAACTTATTAGCGTTGCTTTCTCATTCGTTCGCGTCCACCGTCAATTCCTCCACCTTTTAATCACTCACTCTCTTGTCAAATTTCCGGCGAGTCCAGTTCCGACGTACATCGGGCTTCG